CCCCCTCCTTCCATTAGTAGTTGGACTCTATTAATTTCATTTGAACTATGGATTGAGAAAAAGTTAGAAGGTCTTGGAAATTAAAGATGGAAAAAAATCCTTGCTTGGATACCCAATTTGGCCCTTACCCTGACGGAATATGAGTCAATATTTTACAATGAAGAAGAAATACAATATTCTGGAAGACTATTTTCTAAAAGCGGACATATTTATCTTGATATTATTTAACACTAGTACATTTCTTTCTTCTTTGCTCCGTATATCCACTTCATGCAATACAGAGTATTCATTTTTTATTAAAAATTTTAAACTTCTTTTAGAAAGTGGTCGTGAGATCATGTATTACTAGAACATTGCTTACTAGTTTTAATGACTTGTTTTAGTATTGATTATTCTCTCACAGGTGGTAACACGTTTCATTCTGTTTTTTAAAGACTTACTGTTGTTGTATTAAATTAATATATTTATTTACATAGACTTAGAAAGTAGAAGCAATAAAATATCTGCAAAAAGTGTAAATATTATGCTCGTTTGCTTACAAGGACCTTTAAAATATCTCCAAATCATGGTGCTATGCCTTTAAAAAGTAAAGTTCCAATAAAAATCCATTAACTACTTTCAAATATAGCAGTTCTTCTGTCCAGCTGTGAAAAGTACTAGATGATACTTATTTGCCATTTGTGTTATTTACGGTCCATGACTTTTATGGTAACTGGTTCCTATTATTGGTTTCTATTAATGTAAAACATAAGTGAACATAAATGAGGCGTGAATCATTTCTTTTTATTAGCCCCACAGTCTTCACTCAGTGCTTGCAGTAACTCCAGCTGTGACTTGTTAGTGATAACCTATTTAAAGAAGGATATCTTTAAGAATAAAGGCTGTGATTAGGATTCTTTGTCTGTTCATAGTTTCAGAAGGTTTCACTAGTTCATTGCAGGATCAACAATGATGAAAATAAAATAAAAATTAATTAGCAACACTTCTAAATTCAGAGTTGCCACTAAACTGTCCTGAGCATAATATGGCACTAATTGTACTCCAGGTAAGTTCCTACTTGTTAGTACTAAAAGCAGGACGCAAAATATGTCACTTTGACAGTGCGAGAAAAGACTTCCTGCTGCTATTTATCTGTGTTGTTAAATGGTAGATGCTGATATGATCAGTTATTAAACAGCATACTCTGGAAAAAAAGATACATACCTGTATATAGGGGAAGACTTGTGAAGAATTCTGAGCTTTCATTTTTTTCTAAGAATAATGGAATTTATGTAGAATTAGACTTTTCAAAAATGGACTATACACCTATATTATTGAAGTCATTGGTTTGAATTCTATTAGAAGAATTGTATCTTAAGTCATGTATTAACTTCACTTCCAGGTAGCTTTATAATTAAATTGAAAAAAGCATGCTCTTTAAGGTAAAACATTATTTAACCTGTGAAAAGGAAAATACTTAAGCTTTCTGCTTAAGCAGAGTCTAGATGGAGTTAAGACTTGTGTATCAGATTTTATTTCACCAATATTTTTAATCTAAGGAAAAACTAAGGTTTTTTTAATTGATTCTAACAATGTATTGTTTTGAAATAATAAATATTTATTAGTAGTTAAATAAATCTGGAGTGCACATTTCTCATTCTCTCTTTGGAGCTTTAGAGCATGTATCAACCTTTGTGTTGTCTGTAACTCTCTATCAAAATGAACTGCTTTAATTATTTTCGCAGAAAAGTCTTCCTACACTTCCCAGACATTCTGTGTCTTCTTTCATCAGTGATGTGTCATGAATAAAAGAAGAAAAGAAAAGAACTGTAACCTCACAATAAAACACTTACACCTTTTAGGGGCCTTTCCGTGATACTGCTGAAGTATTGCAGCAGCGCTACAAGCCTTTGGAACCAACCTTGCGGGTGGCAGCATCAATCAATTCACCACTAGAGAAGGCCAGAGAGGAAATGAAAAGGGAGGAATGGAGAAACCGTATACATGTCAATGAGTAAGTTCTTTGTTTTTTCTTGTATTGTTATGAGAATGTTTTCTTTATTCCATTGCCTTCAGAAACCTTTCATGCCTGACAAAATGAAATGTCAAACCTGACAGCTTACTAGCAAACATTCTGTGTACATACTTCTAAATTCTGTGTCCCTAGATTATAAACTGTTCAGGGCAGAGACCCTATCTTGTAATTGTGTGACATGTGCCATCCATATCTATGCATCTATTGAAGAACTTGTAGTAATAATAATAATATGTGATGCAACAGATGGGCTTAATGGGAAATAAGAAAACAAATGCAAATTCTGTTTTGCCGCATGCACCTTGCTAAGGGGAAAACACTGTTTCAGTGTTCGTATTCATGGAGCTTACAGACTATGGGAGGAAAAAATGGTGTTGCATGCCAATGAGACTCGCTTTCTCTCCCAATAGACTACCAAAGCTCACTTGGAAGGGAAGGGAGCATATGTTGCACATGTTAGAACATGATGCAAAACTGTAATCATCTTTGAAGCAGTTTGGTTTCCTAAGCCATAGCACCTGTAATAGCATCAGACACGCCAGTTCTCTTCCATACTATCTCAAATACAGACAAAATCCATCCCAAGAGATTTAAGGCTTCTGTCTCAAAAGATTTAAGGCTGTTGTCAAAATATTTCCAATTCTTTTCTTATCATGATGAAACTCTTTTGCCCAATCATAATAAAAGCCTATTAAGTCACCTGATTTGCTTTAGAAAAAAATGACGTTTTGTCAGCTTTTTCCCTTGAATTCACTGCTCTTGGCAATCCTTTGACAATTTAATACTTGAGTTCAAGACAGAAAGGAATCACTTTTCCTTATGAGTAGCCTGTGATCCACCGATTCACTGGGACATGATGCTTTGCTATCTTTGATCTGTTTCAAGGTTTTCTGTGAGCTCCATGTTGCCACATGTCAGCTTCAGGACTGGGACGTAAGAATTCCAGAATTAATTGCATTTGCATCATTTGGCTTTTATGTTTTTATTGCTGGATCGTTTTCCTCACATTTTCCCCATTTAATATTAACAGTGACTTTAAATTGAAACTGTACTCAAAACCTATTTTTAAAGAAAAAACCCCCTTAGTTCAGCTTCTTTTCCACTTTCAGGGGATGTTATTTTTTTATATTTGATGCCAAAAATAAGATATAGTACTTCTTATTCCTTTCATACCAAAAACATAACTGAGTTCAGTTACAAGTAAAAATGTACTTTAGTTTTCTATTCCTCTGTCTATCCTTTCATTTATTGTGGTGAGAGAGAAGCAGCTTAACTTTCACATCTCAGCTTAAATGTGGATGTTTTTTTTAAATTATTTGTAGCTTCTGCCAGTGAAATTTAAAAAAAGCAAAACCAAACCCCAAAAAACCTAAAAACCACACGAAACCCCCCACCAAAAAAACCCCAAAAACCCCACAAAAAACCCAAAACACTAGGTAACAATTGATGTTCTACCCCTCATTTAAAGTGTTCTTTTCACTGAATAAGTTTTGACCGATGTATTCCAAGTGAGGATCAATGATGTCCTTCGTTTATAGGCGCGACTATATTGCCCAGTCTTTATTTGATGAGGTTTACCCCAGACATCACTGTGTCAACAATTTCAGGTCAGATCTTGTAATAAACATTTCACTGACACTTTTCAGTGAGTGAATTGTGAAGCTTTGATCTTACACAGTTTAAATTTAGAGTCTCCAACTTTGACAGATATTAATTGATCAGGAAGCATTTAGTGCCATCCTTAATGCACAGAAGCAATGTCCTAATACCAATGATTCTCAGCTTCATGCACGCTAAATGCATAGTGTATTATGTATTTTCAGGCTGTGATCATTCCGTTTGTGCTTCATATTCAACCAACCATGCAAGGGTCACATCTGTAACCTTGAAAAGGTGATGACAGAGTTGCAGGTCATCATCAGGACTAACACTCACTAGTAATGCTGCAGCTGCTGTGAGGGATGCTGGTCTCCAGGGAGGAGTCAGCAAAGGGTTACTCAGATTCTACTGTAGTCTTTTCTCAGCAGTGTCTATTATGAATTGACAAATTTCTGTCTCTTCCTGTGTAATTGCATACTTTGGGACTGTATTTCTTCCTGGTAGTGCTTCCTATGCTGATTATTCTTCTGTTTCAGAAAATAAGGAGAGAATGAACAGTGGAAGTGTGTGGCATTTGTTGAGAAAGCTTGTGTTTGCATAAAATGAGAAACTGAATCCTTGATCTATATATTTTCAGAGTGAGTATTGTGTGATAACTCTTAAAACAGAAAAATTATCAGTGTATACCTGCAATTTCCAGCAATATTCAGAATTCCCATTCACCTCTGATTAACAGGGTTCTTTAAAGTGGTAATAAACTTTCTTTAAGTGTTTCAAGCTCTGAGAAAGTTTTTGCTTCTGATAAAATGCAGAAATAATTGAAAAAGCTGTAGGGGAATGTGAGGCAGGCAGAAGCAGTACAAATGAAAGCAAAAAAGAATGTTGTGCCTACTTAAACCGATTGCTGGAATTTCCTGTTTTGTAGTAAAAGAGCAACTGGGTAATCTAGCCTAACAAAAATTATTCCTTTTTCTCATGTAATTGAAGCTGTTACTGCCTTATTGTGCTATTTTTCATACAAATGAAGTGATTTCACCCTCAGCTTGGATAGGAATGACGACTGGACTCCTTTGAGATGGCCACTTAATAAACTAGTGTCTAGTTTGAGACACCAACTGCTGGATCCAGCAGATTTAGATCACTAAGCATGAAAAATTCTTTACTCAGTTGCATGCAGTTGCATGCTGGCCTAATTTTTCCAGAGAACAAAAATGTAAATTATCTTCATTAAATTCACTGAAATGTCTTGGTAATATGCCTCATGCTTCAACGTATACTAGTAAACGTCTTTATAAAGGCAACATACATCAGAATGAGTTGCAATGTGGTGATAGAATAGGGATAAACCAGCAAGAGTATGAGGCTGGGGGTTCCTGATTTATTGTAGCCGTCTGATGTGACATCAGGCAAGTTCGTCTCAGCCTCTGGCTATGTCCGTGCTCAGTGCTGTCCTGGAGACAGCCAAGCTAGTCCTGAACAAGCGGGTTCATTTGTGTGCAGCAGAGTGCAATGTTTGCACACCCTGCCTCTCACATGCTGTGTGAACATTGCAGTACGAAGCTCCTCATGGGCTTATTCTCAGCAAGATAGTGCTTTTCTTTAGAACCAGCTTAGGTGCTTCCGTGCTACGCAGTGCTGTTCACAAAAGCTACACTTACAGAAAAGATAATGATCTAAATAAGCTCTATGCTTGGAGAACATCAGTGTTACGAGATGCTTGATATTAATAGTAACAAAATTTAAAAAGCAAGTCACTTGATTTTAAAAAAATATTTTAATTTCTATATTTATAAGTTATTTTACTGTCTCACATAGCTGCAGTGAAAATGGCTACTGCATTTTATGTCATACAATTGTAACGCATCTGAAAACTTTTTTCAAATTATACTTAGTTTTTCATATGCTTTGCAACTTCAGCAATTTGCATATTTTCTGGACTGTTATTGTATTATGATAAACAGGGATTATCATATATTTTCAGATAATGTTTTCTTAACAATTCAACTTCTATTTGTAACTCTTCCATTTATTTTAATTACTAGCACAGTGTGCAACATTTATTAATCAGCAGAGTCTTTTTAAGTTAAAATACTAAATTAGCTAACCCCATTAACACAGAATACTCCAAACAAGCAGTAATAGGAGAGGTAGTTACTGTGCAAATCGTATTATACATGCGGGTGCTCTAGGGCACAGTTAAGCATGATTACCCTCTTTTGATCCAGTATTCCTCTGCTTCTTCCAGCTAATTTCCACTGGAAATTTACAAAGTAGCGCCTTCATTTTTCCATCTTAATTTTTCTAATGAAGTTCTGGTACTTTATAACACTGGGGATGCAGATAATAAGTCTGTGTATAATTAAGAAGTTCTGGAATTTGCTGCAGAAGAGATCCCTTTTACTTTCTACAAGAACTAGACCATGCTTTTCTTTGCCACTTTACATTGTCGCAGACAGGGGTTAAACAAAAACAGCCAGAGGATTCTTAGATTTACTGACGTTAGGATAAAAGTAATTGATAGTTTCTTGAAAAAGTATGTATTCAGCATATTATTGTAGACAAAATCTGCACCCAAATAATGCATGCGAAATAAGTTTTTTATGGCAAAAACACTGAGCCAAAGGTAATCTGACTGGATATGTTAAGTAAAGTGTTCTCTCTTTATTTTTGTAAATTACACTTTGATTTTAATATGCACTCGTGAACTAAATAATGTCTGCCCTGCTGCAGTTGTTTTTCTATGGAATGCCATTGTGCTTATTCCTTTGTTCCCCTAGTGAAAAGATAGACACTGTTGGATTTGATGAAGAAATTACTTCAGATATAACCCAAATTTGAAAGCTTAAAATTAATTTAATGTTGGTTTGGTTGTTTTTTTTTTTTACAAAAAAGATAAGATTCACAGCTTCCCAGTAGAGAAGCATACTTTGTTTAGAGCTAATTGTTCACAGTCTTCTTCAAAGTGAGATAAAATTGTTTTATTTGAATTAGATCAAGACAACAAGGAATTGAATTGCTATTGCATAGAACCACTTTAGACAAAAAGTTAACATCACACATCTAGAGTTAAGATTTTGGTAGTATTTTTACTACAAAATTACAAAAATGAACAGTACATACTACTGTTATGAAAGTTTGAAAAACATGTAAGCAGAATATTCCTTTTAGTTCTCTGGTTTTAAGACTTCTTATTGTGCCCTGGTAGTGCACCATGTATGGTAGTCTGGCAGTAGATCTACTGCCAGTTCTTTCTCAGAAGTCTGGGTAAAGTTTAAAGCATTTCTGCTATCAGGATTACATGCTTGCACTGCTAGACTGCTGGGATTTTGCCTCTTGGGCAAGTCCAGAGAATGTGCTGAAGGACCACTCTGGGATTTTGCTGCCATTGAAATTCAAGAAAGAGTTAATGCCTCTGAACTGTGTCTTGTTCGTAGGTACCATATAGCATTGGGATGCTGCCATCCAGCAATAAGTGATGGACCTGACAAATCCTCCTTTCTGTTTGTGCTGCTGCTCCCTCCTCTCACATTACCATAGACACTAGAGTCCAGTACCTAATGCTGCTTCTATTCTCTCAGTCAAGCCAATTGGAAAGCTTTCAGTGTCTAAAAGGCCTCTTCAATCTCCTGTCACAATAGTGAGAGATATTATTGCAATAAAAGAGACAGAACAGAGTGAGAAAATGATAGGTGAGGAATGCAGGAAGATCATGAGGGGGTAAAATGAGGAAATAAAGATTAGAAACTAATA